AGAATCAGGCGTATAACCCAATAGCGAGTATAATAAGATGACGTGATCGTCAGACTCATATAGTTCAACATACCAATATCTCTACGCCGACCGGATCACACCCGCTTGTACACTACCAAGGATTGGGAAAAAGGATACCAAAGATCTTCTATTGCTCTAATCCACGGTTTCTTGACGATCGGCCTGATCTTCTCCAGTAATGCTTTACTGTTGCTAACCCTTAGCCCTCGAATAAGGATGATGTCGCCATTTCCGGAGTTCCTCGTTCGGCATGCCCAACCACGCGGAGTTCATATTTTAACATGATTGATTTCTGCAACTATGGTTATTACAGCGTTAATATGTCTCCCGTTATGTACTTTATTCTATTTTAATACATACTGTTCATCTAATCATAAGTAAGTCAAGTTCAAATTTGAACGAAGACTGACTTTACACGTCCTTCGTTGCAACTCTGCGTGATTTAGAATCAGTGCGCAAGATTCATACCAAGGGTCCAGGTCGTGATACGGTAAGCGCCTTCGGGGCAAAGTTGGGGACTAGATCTAGATAAGACTCCACTAGAAATGACAGTGGGAAAACGTGCCTGCCAGCACAGTACATACCCGTACTAGTGGCCCTCGTCCCCATAGGTTAGGTACCTCAGGAATGTACCTTCCATTGTATCCACAAAGTGGACCCTTCTGATAAAGGGAAGGGAGAAAAAAATTTCGAGGGGCATTGGGTCGATAAGGCGAGACCGACTTTTTTTAGAATGCGCCGTATTTTTTTGCAATCTGGTATCTGAACTTTCTCACCATCGCATCAAAAAAGTTGGACGCTGGTTCACCGTTCAATTTTTATCTGCGCCCACCTTTGAGCGCATTCCGGGCAATTCTGCTGGCCCTTCATTCAATCCAGCAGTATTTGTTCTTCGTGTTTGATAGATTAGGCAGTCTTCCTTTTTCCTTTACTGCCTAATTCACCGACACCGAATGCCCACGATGCCTCACCAAGTTTCGACGCCGCTTATAGTGGCTCAAAACGGCGATGCCCCTCCCCCTCCATCACAACAAGAGATAATCTCCATTCTCAATAACATATTCACTGCTACGACTTCCAATGCTTCCATTGATGCCTGCTATGGCCTTTGCGAAGTATTATTGAATACCGTCGGCTTCCGCGGCCTATACAACTACGGTGTCTTGGCCGAGTTGAAGAAAGCCGCCGCTGACAAGAAGAGTGGTTTGCGACGAGAGAGCGCCCAGAATCTTCTCGGCGCCCTCTTTGAAAAATTCCCTGCCCGACAACCGCTGAGTGAAGTTGTTTTCCTGCTACAGGACGGTGGACTTGTGTCAGTTGCCTTAGACGCTCTAGCCGACAAGGGCACAGTCGTCCGCGATGCCGCCCAGTATGGACTCGATGCCCTCGTCGGTCATTTGAGCCCGGAGGCTATGGTCGTCGGCTTGTTGCCAGCGCTCGTCGCTTACTTATCGAAGAGAACTGGAAAATGGCAGGGCACAGTTGGCGCCTTGAAATTGCTGCAGAAGATGGCTGACAAAGCAAAGATGGAGATTGGCTGCACAAAAGAGCAGGCCCAAGAGAAGGATCTTCTTAGGGAAGCCATGGGTGCGAAGCTGGCCAGTCTAATTCCCATTGTCGAAGGCAACATGCACGACCTCAAGGCCGATGTTGAGAAGCAAGCTCTCGTTACGATGCAATCTCTCACCACCTTGCTCTCCAATGACGATGTCGCCCCTAGAATCCCTCTCCTCGTCGACACCATGCACCATCCCTCGACTCAGACGCTTCAGAAGGCCATTCACGCTCTTTCGCAAACTACCTTCGTTGCTGAAGTCACCTCTCCTGTCCTCGCCCTTCTCACTCCTTTCCTCGAGCGAACCCTCAACAACCCTTCTACTGCCCAGGAGGTTCTGCGACAGACAGTCGTAATCACCGAAAATCTGACCAAGCTGGTTCACGATCCCATCGAGGCTCGAACGTTCTTGCCTAAACTCCAACCGGGTATCAAGAGTGTCGCTGATCGTGCACCCCTACCAGAGGTGCGCGAGTTGGCTACCAGGGCTATGGATGTCATGGATAAAGCCATGGGTAATGATAATGCAGTAGTGGAGAGAACCTCTGCAGACGATGTTGCCAAGGTGCTCGACTCCGAAATTAAGAAGAACGGTGGGCTCTCTGGCGATCTCGAATTCTACAAGGTAGCCCGCCCTTACATTTGCGAGATGGTGGCCGAGGACGCCAACCACCGTCAAGTCGATCGCATCCCTGCTAGGATTGCACCCTACCTGAAGGATGTGATGCACCAAGCCGGTGCTAGTGATGTTGTCGCTTCCAGTGTTCATAATTTCTATATTGCCGAGGATCACCGTAAATATGGTGTACCGGAGAAAGAGGACGACGGCGAGACCGAAATTGTCAACGCAGACTTCTCGCTGGCATATGGCGGTATGCTTCTTCTGTCTCACACCAACCTGCGACTCTTGAAGGGACATCGATATGGTCTCTGTGGTCGCAACGGTGCTGGCAAGTCTACTTTGATGAGAAGTATTGCTGGCGGCAAGTTGGAGGGCTTCCCACCTCAGGATGTCCTTCGTACCTGTTACGTTGAGCACAACCAGGGCGAAGATGCCGATATCAGCATTCTCGACTTCATGGCAAAAGACCCGACAATCGCATCTGAAGGAAGAGACAGGATCTCTGAAGTCTTGGCTGAGTTCGGCTTTACAGCTGGCCCCGAGGGCAGGCAGTCACAGAAGGTTGGCTCTCTATCTGGAGGTTGGAAGATGAAGCTTGCTCTTGCTCGAGCCATGTTGCAGAGAGCTGATGTTCTCTTGCTGGACGAACCTACCAATCACTTGGATGTTGCCAATATCGCCTGGCTGGAAACTTACCTCAAGACCCATCCCGACATCACTAGTTTGATCGTTTCTCACGACTCGGGCTTCCTGGATAATGTGACTACCGACATCTACCATTACGAGCCCGGAAAGAAGCTTGGCCATTTCAAGGGCAACCTATCTGATTTTGTCAAGGTCCGCCCGGAAGCCAAGTCCTACTACACTCTTTCTGCCTCCCTCGTCCAGTTCAAGTTCCCACCTCCGGGTATCTTGTCCGGTGTCAAGTCTCAGACACGAGCAATCATCCGAATGACTGGGGTCTCCTACCAATACCCCAAGGCGCCCAAGCCGTCGCTTTCTGATGTGTCTTGCCAGCTGTCTCTTTCTTCTCGTGTCGCCGTCATTGGACCCAATGGTGCCGGAAAGTCGACTTTGATCAAGATTTTGACCGGTGAAGTTATTTCGACTAGCGGCAAAGTCGAGAAGCACCCCAATTTGCGAATTGGCTACATCAAGCAACACGCCCTGGAGCACGTAGAGATGCACCTCGAGAAAACCCCGAACCAGTACTTGCAGTGGCGATACGCCAACGGAGATGACCGAGAGGTTTTCCTAAAGCAGACCCGTATTCTCTCGGATAAGGACCGAGAGCAAATGGACAAACCAATCAGTCTAGGCGACGGAAAGGGCGACCGACAACTCGAAGCTCTCGTTGGTCGACAGAAATGGAAGAAGACATTCCAATATGAAGTGTAAGTTATTCACTGTGATTTTACTTTTGGATTCTAGTGCTAATAAAATCTAGGAAATGGAAAGCGTGGCTACCGAAGTACAACTCGCAGGTGTCTCGTGAGACTCTTCTAGAATGGGGATTCGATAAGTTGGTGCAGGAATTCGATGATCACGAGGCTTCCCGTGAAGGTCTCGGTTACCGCGAGCTCCAACCTACCGTCATTTCCAAGCACTTCGATGATCTTGGTCTCGACCCTGAGATTGCTAACCACAACGAAATCGGCAGTTTGTCGGGAGGCCAGAAAGTCAAGGTTGTCATTGCGGGTGCAATGTGGAATAACCCACATTTGCTCGTCCTGGACGAACCCACTAACTTTTTGGATCGTGACTCTCTCGGTGGTCTCGCGGTTGCAATTCGCGACTTCAAAGGTGGTGTGGTCATGATTTCTCACAACGAAGAATTCGTCGGTGCCCTCGCCAATGAACAGTGGCATATCAACGACGGAAAGATGGTCTTGAAGGGCAACGCTTCGATCGCCCTTGACCGCTTCGAGGACAGTAAACCAAACAGTGGTCTCAGCAGCGGCCTTACAAGCGGCATCAACAGCACTGCAGCCAGTAGCGCCGTCAGCAGTGCCGTTAACAGCGGCACCGAAGATAACGTGCCCCTGAAGTTCAAGGCCAAGAAGAAGAGGAAGAAGACCAAGAAGGAGCTGAAGGAGCAGGAGGTCCGAAGAAGACTGCGTCACATCGAATGGCTCAACAGTCCTAAGGGCACCCCGCATCCCGCGGATACGGACGATGACGAGTAATGGGTCTTTCTGGAAGATGCTTTATGAGTTTGATGCGCGTTTCTACCGAATAGTTGATGGCTTTCCGTTTTAGGCGTGGTTCCTCTCCGATTCCTTCAAGTGGTAGTCATAGTCATTGGACTGAATGCGTGCGGTTGCATTGGAATCAGGGTTACAGTTCAAGACGCATAAAAGGTCTTACACGCAGGCGTTCATATAGACGGATGGTAATAATGGCATTATAGAATGAGACTTCGCATTCACAAAGGTCGGGAGCCGAGATCAATAGATGATGATATTGACTGAGATGCTTGCGTCTTTTCGTGACTGTTAAGTTGAAATTGTAACCTCAGACCCCCTTGAAATTGTGTCTTAAGAGAATGATACTACCTATAGCCAGTCCTTAGTAGATGCGACATTACCATTCAGGTAATTTCTAGCTATTTTGGTCTTGTTCTTTCATGCCTTCCAGGTTTACAGCAGAACCCAATATTTGGATTGTGCCTGTATTGGTTGAAGTCTCCATGAGCGGGTCCGCAACCTGGATGGCTTTTAGCCGAAGTTTCCTCCAATAAGCGACTTCTCTGGCTACGGTGCTATATAAAGTGCATTGAGCATAAAATAACCAATCACCAGAGCCCGCTTGGCACAGCGGTAATGCGCCTCACTAGTAGATTTATCTGCTACTGTGGAATAAGCAATGAGGAGATGACTGGTTCGACTCCAGTAGTGGGCATTTTCTTTTGCTTTTTTCATGTACTTTTCCCTCGTATTTTTTTTTTCGATTCCTTCGACATGACGTGCTATCATCTATCTACTCTATTGTTTTACATTTGACAACCACTTTATTGTATGCTTTTCCTTCCATTCGTTTTTATTTTCGGGATGGTGTTAGCTGTGCAGATTATTAAGGCCAATGCGAATTGTTGCAGCTTGCTGCAATCCGAGATAGGAGACAGTCGAGGAACACGCCTCTTTGACGCTGTTGTCAGTTTCATCAAGTGCAAGACATTGTTTCTGCCGGATTATAAGTATACTCGAGTCAAATTTCAATACATCTCTATCAAACGTCAAGGTGATGGATGAATGGATGGCTTTTGGTGTCCTCAATGCCTCCTCTTGAGGCTGCAGCTCTTTCAAGAGTCATTGCTATTGAGCACTAGGCCTTCCATCTTCAAGAGAGCATTTTCAACACCTGGTGCCAACTCCGCACTGAGTACTCCGTCTGTACTCTTCAGGTCTCCTAACAACTCCTCAGCACCTAAGATCAAACAGAAACCAAAGAATCAAAGCTACGTAATGTAGAGAATCAACGCAGACTACCTGCCTGCCTATGATATATATAAATTAATATGTTACTTAGGCCACAAGAAAGAGCATAGGTACCTTAGTGACTGACCTGCGTGAGTTCAACGTTTAGAGTAATCGAGTCATTACGAAATTCCCTAGGTACTCTCCTTTCAAAAACTTTGAACATCGTATGCATGACCCTATATGTTTGCCCTACGACCTACACAAGGCAACACCTATTCGGGTAGTCTTCTACTTGTATCTAGCTATGAGGGAAGGTCCCTATAAGCCTGGCTAGGTACATGTATGTGCGTGCCTCCTAAGCCACACAGTTCCTTTAGTGTAGGTGCCTGTATCACCTCTTGATTGCCTTATAGCCGTTGCTCTACGAGGCCCAATCAGCAACAAGAAACAAACGAACGCAAAGAGACGGGCTTGTGATTTAAGGTGGTATAATGCTCGCTTAGCACTACATGTCTGCGAGAGGTCCGGGGTTCGACTCCCCGCGAGTCCAGTTTCATTTTTTATTCTTGTTGCATGGAAATTGTTACCTGAAGACCACGTGCGAGCTGAGGTCGGTCAAGGTATTATGACCCAAATACATGTATGTTCGAGAGTTAGCAAAATAGTAAGCTACTCTATCTTATAAACCCTTGTCTTCTCCATCTGCGCATCTTCATTTCCTTTTCGCTTTGCATCTTGGTCTGCTCCTCAACCTTGTATTTAAAATAGATTTATCCCACCACTGTCCATCGCCCATGCTGTTGCACTGGATCTATTATGACGATTGCAATACAGTTCCCTTATCTTTCTCTAAGTTTATTTCTTGATGTGTGATGCAGTGCTGTCCTTTAAAAACGCAATTCCCCTTACTCTTCAGGGGGTACTGATGTGTGGTAGTGTACGGTACGGCTTCTTGATGACAATTTCACTGTACCCAATTACGTTTGATGACGTGCCATCTGTCTTGTTCCTGCCCTTACTCTTGTTCATGGAAGGGGGAGAACGAGATAAGTTAGGCAGACAGTCTGGGCTAGAAGCCCCGAACCACGTCGGCACACTCGGGCTTCGCAACGTGGAACTTATAAGTGGACGCCTGCTCTGCTAGTTATGTAGAGCTAGTATTTCGTGGTCAATTCGTTTGCAAGGTCCTCCGGGGAAGGTATATGACTGAACGGCCCAGTATACTCATCCCAGACTACCTACTCTAATAATCCGGTGAAGATGCTTTGGAATGTCGGCCACTTCAGTCCACGAGATGTTGTCAATGATGCTTTGGGTACTGTTGACTAACCATATACTGCCCCATACGTTCCGCATAAGCATGACCTGCAGCCCACGCAAACAGGGAATGACTTCCGACAAAAGAGAGTCGGACTTCATTGATTGCGCTAACGTGGATTACGGGACTGTTCAGAGATAGCATACGCTCTCGGCTGTACAGGTTGGCCTATGTCTTTGTAGGATAGAGGCGCACAGCATCTTGGAAGCTGTGTACCTCCTCTTCGGAAAGCTTGAACGCACACCTCGAAGATAGCAGCTCCCGCAAGGATATAGAAACCCTAGCCAGACGAAGCTCTGATAGTGCCTCCTGGAAGCGAGCCTGCTCGCCGCGTCGAGGCGGGACTTTAGAGTTGTTGGGTCACTGTATTGACTGTGTCTTCCGCACGTTTTGCGGCTTGTGACTGCCAATGCTTCGCTTCGATGAATTTCGTTTATAGTCTGTCATAATAGAGATACATAACTCTGCGGCGTCGTACTTATCGAACCCTTTAAGATGGCCGGCTGGAGCCGGCAGACATGGTTCTCCGGATGTAATCCGAAGTAACCTTGTGCGTAGCTTGTGGTAGAGAACGGGTTAGATTGAGAACCTGTTAATTCTTCTAGTAGTTATGTCAATGTCAGGGTGGTTCTGAAGGGACGTCGCTGTTCCCAAGCCTGTATGCCTCAAGTGGTGATGGGGAGTTAAGTGACGTTGCCGTGGTGATAATTCCGCGCAAGTGCAATAAATGATACCCGACTGGCAACAGCTTGGCCTACTCCATTTCTTCGAATCGTGTCAACGGCTTCTCGGAGTAGGCTATGTAGAAGTGTGTGGAGTGTGGATTGACGGTAGAAGATGAAGGTGGGCTGAAAGCTGCACCAGGAGGTGAAAAAATATACCTGGGGTAGGTATTTTAGCATGCAATAGTGAAATAGACAATGATAATTGAGTAGGTGATTTTATATACTTTGTGGAGCACACCTCTGGTGATCTCATCGCCATCTGACTACGTCGTCTCGATACTTCAGGGCAATATATACCAGGTAAGATATAATGACCTATGATAAGTGTGTATTCAAAGTAATTCCAATGATTAAGTTACTTCTCAAGACTGCCTTCTATATTTAAGCAGGGCATCCCTATTCTTGATTCTAGGGCCTATGTGCTTGTGTTAGCAATCTTCTACTTCCCATAGAAGGTCCATGCTTGGTACATATATTCTATACTTACCATCACGTTTTGATTACACGTTGCTTGCACAACGTTGCTAGAAGCGGAAATGGTTCGACATTGCTAAGATCAGTGCTTGTTGGCTTGGCATTCTTCCAGTGAAGTGCAGGCATTGATACGGAAGTTATAAAAAACAAACAACTACAAAAATGGAAGTGTTCGAGCTCAGCAGGGATCGAACCTGCAATCTTCAGAGGACTGGCCGCCGTGGACCGTAATCTGACGCCTTACCATTAGGCCATGAACCCATTTGTTTTTTTCCAGATGGCATGTTGTATGATATTTTGACCTAATACATTCTTTATAGGTACCTGCCCAGGTAGGCAGCAGAAGTGGACACAGGCCGGATTGCATTAAGTGATAACGTGGGATGTAAAGCTTTCCATGGCATCCTTCCTTCCAGCAGACATGAAGATGCTATGCCATAATCTCCCATATTGAGATGTATTGACCTCCTGAAAGCTGCTTGGAATCATCGCGATCGAGGCCATTTCTACCCAAAAGAAGTTAGATGGTATAATACTGGTACTTCCTTTCTTGGTAGTGACAAGTTTCACACAACTGATACCCTCGAACCCTGTGTTTCATTACCCCTAGGCAAGGCAGAGAGTTTGAACCCTTTTCGGGATGTCACATAGACCCAGCTAGGCACAGTGATGTACGCCCTAACATCCACGTAGGCACTTTATTCTGAGCCTGACTGTACACTCCCCCTTTCCCCCTTCTCTGCTTCCGACGGTTACAGACCATCCATAGCTCACCTGCCCCCGGAGCCGCTCACGAGCAGCACCACGGCACCAAGCTGACGCCGGAGGTCCTCCTTCTCGACATCGTGCGTGTCCTCGACCTCGCCCCACTTGCGGGTCTGCCAATCGACCTCGATGCTAGCGAGCCGCGCGGCCTCCTCGACGCCGAACCTCGTCTCGGCCGGCCCGGTCCCCGCGAAGCCCTCGCTCCACTCGACGAGCAGGCGGACGGCGCCCAGCAGGCCCTTGCCGGCGAGCACGCCGCGCTCGAGCCCGGCCAGCTCCCAGTGGCTGAGCCCCATGACCCAGCCGCGGACGATCTGGCGCGTGGCCTCGGGGTGGCGGCGCGGCACGATGGACTCGCCGTCGAGCACGGGCTCGATCCGGACGCCGGGCCAGACGCGGCGGCCCAGGAACCCCAGCACCTCCTCCGCCGCGCGCTGCTGCACGTCCCGCAGGCTGTCCACGCCCGGCGGCAGCGGGTCGTCGGCCCCCGGCGGCGGCGCCCAGCACAGCAGCGAGTCCGTGTCCAGGTACCGCAGGACCATGTTGGCGATGCTTGTCCTGATGCTCTCGCTCTCGCTGCCACTGCCACTGCCACTCCCGCTCCCACTGCCACCCCCACCCCCCCTCATCTCCGCCGCCTCATCATCGTCCCTGATATCCAGCGCGCGGCACACCAGGCTCGTGAGCGGGATCAAGTGCTGCCGCGTGGCCTGCGCCGCGCTGACCAGCATGTCCCACTCGACGGCCAGCGCAGCGGCCAGCAGGCCCTTGGTGCGCGGCAGGCGCACGACCTGCTTGGTGCCGGGGTGCCGCAGCGGGCGCGCGTCCAGGTGCACCTCCCAGGCGCCGTCGACGTCGCGCGCGTGCACGTCGCGCCAGAAGCGCTTGCGCAGGAGCGCGCTGTCGCGGTCCTTCTTGGACATCCGGGGTCCGCCGGTCTGCGTCTGCGTCTGCGTCGGGGCGTGCGCCTGCCGCATCATCGCCGCCTTCTCTAGGAGCGCCGCTTGCTTGCGCCGGCGCTCGAGGCGCGCGGCGGCGCTGTCGGCCGCGGGCGCGGGCGGCTCGGGCGGCGGCCCCGTGCCGTGGATCGGCGAGACGGTGGCGGGCGCCGTGCGCGTGGTGTGGATGGGGTGTCGCGGGCGGGCTACCTTAAGAGGGAGGGTCGTCGAGGTCGGCTGCGTGCATGGCGCTGGCTGGCGCGCTGCTAGACGCAGTGCTAATCGAGCGGGCGGCTTCATGTTTGGAGTACCTAGCTTTGTGGACTTGATTGGGGCGTACAGGAATATCGTATAGGTTTCTGGAGCAAAAGTTCAAGTTGAGTCGAGGATTCTGTAGGTCGGGAATATTAATTTACGCTCTTTCCTTATCGATTATGCAATAGCTCCGACACCCCTGAGCGTTAAGCTCGGCCAATGATGCTTGCAGTTCTTGCCAAGAGTATCCACCTTGATTATTAATGTACATAGGGCTGATAATATCGTCTGACCCCTTATGGATGGCTTTCATCCATTCTTATCAAGTATTTGATATTATTAACATTACGAAATAGTTGATATAAACATTAAAAATTCGACGGAGCTTTTCAATTGATGCACTTCTTTTATCACTAAGCACCTATGTACTCTGCGGCTAGTCCACCTCCCCTCCCCCGCTGCCATGGGGCCAACAAATGGAACCCTATGTCGACAGAGCGGCAGTATACCGCGCTCGCACCAGGAGAGCTGTATGCAACGTACAACAAAACAAACGAGTAATATATACAAGCATATGTCCAGATAGAGTTGCCCCCGTGTAGTAGTCTTTTTGGTTTTTGAAACTTCCCGTTTTTCCACCTCTTTTCTGCGCAGCCGGGCCACTCCTTATATCTTTCCCGGTATTGGCTGTTCTTCCCCTTCCACTTGCTTTGTACCTCTTCACTCCCTTCCCCTTCTCGTCTCTTCCTAGATTAATAGTATACAACGATTATATCAAAAAAAGCCCCGGCCCTAGTGTTCGCCTCGGTGCTGCCATTTCGAAGAAGAATCTGTACATAGGAGCGTTGTTGTTGGTGTAGGTAGCCCGTTCAATAAGGGGGCTTGGTTAGGTTGCCGAACGTGTTCTGTTGGGATTTGCTGTTGATCCCTTTAAGCATCGACTGCAGGTCCATGCTAGCCGCGCCTGCGTTGGTAAAGTTACTCGAGAGAATGCTATCCCCGCCTCTGCTCCTAAGATTTCTCTTGGGGGATTTGATCTCGGGCGTAGGAGCTTTACCGGCCAACGAGGGCGGCAGTGGGGGCACCGGTGGTACCTCTTCTCCATCTTCCCCTTCTCCCTCCATAGGATGAGACGACAGTGGCCCACCCGAGTCACCAGATGCCTTTCGCTCCCGGGACTTTGACCTCGACCGTGCTAGCGCTGCTTCACCATCGACACCATCGGCCGCGTTGGGATTGAACGAAAGTTCCGACGGCGTGAAATCGTAGCTCGCCATGCTTTCGCTGCTGTCGTCATCTTCTCGTAATGTGCCAAAAGTAGTTGGCCTGACCTGATCTCCGCTAAGTACCGATTTGAGCTGGTCGACGGAAGCGACGAAACCTCGACTAGAGGCACTTCTTCCCGAACCGTGGCTTGGTATGCTGGAATTTCGCAGGGCAGCAGCGTGGCTGGCATGTGATGCAGGTCGTAGATTATTCTGGCGAGCGTAGGCTGATTCCGGCCGGCTCGGGGAATGGCCATTGGCGGAGGGCCCATTAACGGTAAGATGATTCCCTTTGGTGACGGTCGTTCCGGTTTTCGATCCACTTAGTGAAGCAGACTTGCTCTCGGCTTGAAGTGCCATAACGGCTGCCTCCCTGTTCCATTCCGTCATCATGTCTACCCTAAATTTGTCGGGCAGTTCGTGCTCGTCATCAGCCGGTGGAATAGCACTTAAGGTAGAGCCTAAAATCGGATGGGAGAATACGCGACCGGGCGACGCAGAGGGACTGGCGGGCGGAGAAACTACTCTCTCCGTATAGTTCTTGCAAATGCATTCCACCATCGCGATGCGATCATCGAAGGGAAGCAAAGCCTCGGATTCCATAGCATGCGTAGCCATCTTGGACTGTGGACTAGTCGTACCCGGTGTTCCTAATAGATCCAACGATGGCGTCGGAACGTGTACACCTTCGACCCAAAATTGCTTGCTTCTCCTCCGAACAATCTCGTTGTGGACCGCGCGACCAGGAGCTGATGCTTCGAAATCGAAATGTTCGCTCAGAGCCCAGAAATAGCCATGGCAAAGGCATCCAAGGTGGACTTTGGCCAGAGGCGTCTCGGCTTCCAGAATATCCTCCTGGAGTCGGAAGATCATTGGAAGGCCATATCTAGCAGCATTAACACCAAGCTTATTGACTAACTTAGTCAACAACACGTGAAGAAGAGCAATATCTGCCTCGAATTCGATGAATTGTAGAGCGCTGTCGTAGATGGCGAGGTGCAGGAGTTGCAAAAAGCGAGATCGGGGGACTCGAGCAGGCTTCTCTCGATTGGAAGCACTTGAGACAGCTCGGCGAGCGACAGTTGCCGGCGGTAACTCTCTATTATTCATTCGCGGTTTTTGGCTCATGTCGTCACGCGCCTCCAAATCAGAGCTGGTGGTTTCTCGATCGAGCCACGTAGCAAGGGCATCTACATATGCCTTTCGTACCTGTCCGTCTGGGTCGCGTAGGAGCCAGTGTGTACCCTCCCAAACCTGTATAGGGACCTTATTTCTGGTCAAGCTAACGTTTCCGCTGATCTTGGTCTTGGGATTCGCGACAAGGAGAATGGATCTGATGGCTTGGAGTGCGATAGTCTTGGCCACGTCTAGAGAAAAGAAACCATCAAGATGAGACTGGTCATCCGAAATATTCCCCGTGGATGCTCCGGGCGCGGTATCCATCTTTTCAGTAGTTGTTAACGACGGGCTCACACTTGGATGAGGCTTGAGTCGTAGGAGAATAGCCGAGATCATGTCGGAAATCTGGTCTGCATAGTAGACATGAGTAGCTAGATTGCCAATGGACTGTTGGATTCGGCCCAATAGTTCACTATAAAGAATAGAAACGTGCTGAGAAATGTCAGCAGCAGTGGGAGCGGCCTTCTCGTCTCCACTAGGACCATCGCTGCCCCTCGAACTTCCCGAATACTTCAAGACCCGCTTCATATGCTGTAGAAATCCTAGGAGGACATCCATAACACTCAAGCCGATCAAGTTGATATCATCGGAGCTCAGTAAAGACCCTATAATGGCAGTGAGCACAATTTGATCCGGCAGGTTTTCTTCGGTTGGCGTAGTCCGGAGGAGTGTATCTGTGATGGTAATCATAATAACATAGCGATCTTGTACTGGTGCCCATCCCGCGATAAGCTCAAACATCTTGATAGCCCACCCACGATCGCGTCCGGTGTTATCGCTGGCTTCCACTACAACCGTCTCCTTCTGTTGAACCCGTTCTTTGATGAATCGTAACAGTGCCGCGGCGGCCCCGTGTATC